GAGGTACATTTAAACAAAACGAGGTACAAGAAAAATAAACTTAACTCAGAATAATAAAGTCCTTTTTCACTAATAATGCCTCTTAGTCTTATCTTTTTCTTTTTCCTTTTCTATTTCTTTTTATCAGGGTCTCTTTTTGACGTCTTCTCTTATTTCATCTCTTTCTTTTCATTGTCTAGGGGCTCGGCTGATAATGAAGCAGAAAATACGTTCCCTCTCTCTTTCGTCTTGGTATGACAGCATTCTTGCTTGAGATGGTCTGTTCTTTCTCTTCCCTCTCATGCTTCGTTTAAGGGCTTGGTGATGGTTGAAACTGCTTTCTCTTTCTTTGATATAGCGGCGTTCCGCATACGTAGACATTTGCTAAACGTCTGTCCAGCCCACATGCCCGGTCAAGACTAACTTTTTTGTTTCACTATTTGTTTCTGTTTTCTTCTTGTCACGTGGTCAATTTTCAAAATACTAACTTTTTCCCATTATAGGTGGAATGGGGTCACCAACTCCCTCTCTCATCTTCAGGGTCAGAGAAAGTTTAGTTTAAAATGTTTCAACCTATCTCAACCAGAACCTATCCGCGTAGATCATGCTGTCAACACCTTGACCAAAAGAGAAGGAAAGGGGACACTCTGGTCAATCATTGTTGCCATGAAGTCTATCTACCTCTTTGGGTTTACTATCTTTACATTTTCTGCAAGTACTGGGCTCTTTATTTTAGAATGCTTCTAAAATACAAGCAATAGTATATATTTTTTATAACAAATTTAGATCGGGGTTCGTAACAATATTTACCAATATATACTTCTTAGCTTTGTTTAACTGCATTTAGCACTGTTTTGTTTACACCTTAAATTGAGTAAATATTTATTTGCTTATGTGTATGCATGCTAATACATGCATATACAGTTGCTAATATCTAATTATTTGGTTTTTATATATATATATATATATATATATATATATATATAAGGAGGCATGGTGGGATAGTGGATTGGATTGAGGAATCGGAGAGCCGAGTTCAAATTCCAGTCAAATCGATTACATTCACTTACATGCTAATACCCTTGGGAAAGATGTGAATCCTCTTCTTCTCCCTCCAGCAAATAAATATTTACTTAATTTTTGGTGTAATCAAAACAATGCTCAATGTAGTGTAACAGAGGTATAAAGTATATATTAAAAACTATACATATTATCTATGTCTGTTGTATGACTCAGAGTTTCATGTGAGTACAATTGCCATGTACTAATATTTATGAACTTTTCAATACAGGTGTTTTAAAAATTCTGGGTGTCATAGGAGCAATGCTATATTGTATATTGATTTAATGTTTAAAATTATTATAATTATAATATTGGAGTATAAATGCAAAAACTAGCATGTGGGTAAGGAAATAACATAAAATAGAAGATTCATTTAAATTTAAATGTAAATGATCAAGCAGTCCAAAGGGGGCAACTTTATGTATATGAGGATTGGAGAAAAGAAGAAGAAATAAGGATAAGTGTAGGAAAAGATAAGGAAAGTGAAAAAGAAAAAGAGAAAGGAAAAGAAAAGAGGAAGAAGAGGAAAGATAGAATTAAAGGTAGAATAAGAATATAAAGTTAATATTGAATTAGTATGAAACAAATATAAAAATATAAAAAGAAAAACTATAAAAATGTATATGGAGAATATATAATACCAGATGAATGGGTTTAGTTATTCGATATGGTTGTTTTTGAAAACTATAGGTCTTGTAGAATCAATGGTATATTGCAGATTAATTCAATGTATAGCAATATTACAAGTATAATCTAATATAGGGGGATAAATGTAAAATTATAGAGCGTAGTTAAAGAATAAAATATATAAAATAAAAATGGGGACACTGAACTATAGAAAGTTCCATTAAATTTGAAGGCAGTAATAGTGAAAGGAGGGTAACTTAATATAAACAAAAAAGAGGGGAGAAGAAGAAAGATAGATAAAATAAAGGTAAAATAAAATTAATATGGATATGGAGTTAATATAAATATAAAATTGATATAGAATTAAAAGGAGAAAGGTTATAAAAACATAAATATGGGGACAATGTGATAATAGAGAGAAGTAGTATATAAGTAGGGAGAGAGTAGATTAAAAAAAAGCAAAAAAGAAAACAAACAGGTCAGTAGGGTTAATTCTAGTAATTGCTAGATTAATATGCCAACCAGAATCAAAATATTTGAGAAGAAAGTTTTTTCTATGAATGCATATGGTCATAAGTTCACTTTGTTTGTTCAGCAGGTTGGGGTTATCAGTGTATTTATGAATGACTGACTGAAATACATTTTGTTGATATTGTTCAGAATAAAGAAGAAGGAAAGAACAAATAAACAAAGAAAGAAGGTAAGTAAAAAAAGATTAAAATATAATTAACGTGGCTAGTCAGGCTGTGTAGATCTAAGCTCCATCAAAGCTGGAGACATACTTAATAGGCAATGTATTTCTTGCTTTAATTTTATAAAAAAATGTCTAATGAGTTGTATGCCCTGTTTTTCAAAGAACAGCTTTTTATTTCAACTTAGTGTTTTCAAATGTCCACTTTAAATAATTTATTCCATACAGTATAAGGTTTCTTGAGGAATGTATCTTTTGAGAAAGGGCAAATTAAACTTAGCCTGATTTAAATTTCATGAAAATCAAAGAAAGTGGCAGCCTTAACTTGTCAATTGGAGGGTTGGCATGAGGAGTGTGACTGGGGTAGACTTGAGGAAATATTATATCAGTCAACAGTACTGATCATAAATGTAAAATGAATTAAATTAACAATTCACAGAGAGGGATATACATAAACACACTAACGCATAGACATATATACAAACACACACTATATCATCAATGACTCGATAACCAGGTTGTAAGACAATAAAAAATGGAAATGGGGCAATAAACAGACAAGCATATAAAAGACTTTGTCCTCATCTTTTTTTCTTACATGTCTGGAAAATTTTAAAAAATAAATGTTTATTTTTATAGAATTATTACAATTAATATTAAAATACCAAAATGTTTTTTTTTTAATTGCATGCAGAGAGATTTAAAAAAAAAAAAATTTTAGTTAGAGTAAAGGAATAATTTTAGCATCTAAGTTATAGCAATAGCATATTTTGTAGTTTTTGTACAACAGGGAATAGACTTGACACAAGATTTCTTAAGGAATTTAACTCTGACTTTTACATCTGGTTGTCATTGAAGTGATCATGTGGGCTTTCACTTGGTCTCCAACTACTTGATGCAATGTCCTTTTATTTATACCTAGTGCGAAGATGTCATAGTAAACAGAAAATGCATGCAATGTGTAACAGAAAAATGCTCAGCTTAATTCTAAAATATGTTACTTGAAGAGTATAACATTTCTAATAACTATACATGCTTAAAAGCTAATTTGCAGATTAATAATTTAATATTTTTACCAGATGCATAATTTTCATCACTCTCAGTAAATTATATGCAAATTAAATTTTATTTTAATTTGGTATCCACTCTGTAGGGATATTGTATCATATGAATAATTTTTTGCAAAAAGACATTTTTATTTTATCTGAAACTCATTAATAGACTATGTTCTATGTCTGCTATAATTTGAATTTGTTTAATTTGTTCATTTTACCAAATCTTAATTTACACTGATTTTTAAAAATTAAAAATAAATAAATGGAGAGTCTGTTCAAATAAAAGGATCCACTAATATTAACATTTAAGTAATAAAAATCTGTCAAATTGATAAATAAAAAATCCATTCACTTTTTCATAAAATAACAATTATATAATTTATGTCCTGGAAAGAAAAAAGTTATACAAACATGAGAAATTATATTAAAAAACTTAACCACAGCACCTTGTCAGTGATTTTCAATGAAACTTTATAATATAATTTTGAAATAGTGCAGTTCCATAAAAAATATAGTTATAGTGTTTTTTTTTTTTACATGAATAATATATATATATATATATATATATATATATATATATAATGGTTGGTCATTCTTTTCTGAGCATAACTTATCTGTTAGGCAATAAATCTCTCTTGTAGATGCCTATACAGGAACATTTGTGTCCATTTGACACCCACAGTGACCTCCTGCAGTTTATACTGCAACTATGTTTGGACCATAGTTAAAGTTGCTGGGACAGAGTGCATAAGCTCGTATGATCAACAGTTTGAACATCTATTCAATTTCATTCAGTAGGCATGGATAAAATCTGTGGTATGTTTGTCACATGTATAGATCACCTCCCTAGACCTCCTTGACAATTGACAATGGTGAGAATCAAACCCAGGTCTTATCATCAGAAATTAAACATTCTAACCAGACAGCAATACACCCATATATATTTTAAATAAAAACAGACCACTTTAAGGTTCCATTTAATAAATTATTTCACCACTTCCGTTAAGTTAACCGTTTAAATGTGTCAATATCTGCTAACTCATGCATGTCTTCCCTCCCCCCCTCACTTCGTTAATTTACATATATTTAATACGGCCCGTCAAAAATGTGTAAATTTCTTTTCATTTTTGTTTGGAAGTAAAGTCTGATGATCCGCAGTCCTTTAAAAGGGCTGTGGTGAAATAATTTATTACATGGAATCTTAAAATGGTCTGTTTTTATTTAAATTATTTGCTCTGGATTTACATTGAGCTCTCTGGATTTTATCCTCCTTAGATTTACCCATACAGATTACCTAGTTTTTTTATAAAATATATATATATATATATATATAAATAAACACAATTTATTTTTAGCTAAGTATTTATTGATCAGAATTATAGAGATGGTAGAAATTATAAAGAAATGTATCAAATAAATTATAATAAAGTTAAATGTGAACAATCAATGAGCTTTATTTTATATAATAACTTAGAAAAATAAAATAAAGAAAATTCAAATTAAGGTGCATATTTATAGATATCTTGAAATTCTAGGCATGTGTGAAAAAATGAAAAAAATAAATAAAAGGTGGGGGTCAAACTCACCCCTTGTTCAGCTTCCACAAACATTTGTAAGTCTTCCAGTGACATGAATTCTGAATTAGTGGCATATCTGGAAGAAAGAAGAAAGAATCAATGAAACACACTGAATAAACGTCATCAAAAACAAAAACCTAAAAACTGACTGCATATATACTGCATATACTTGAATAGAGTGCAGGTTTGTATGATCAGCATTTTTTTACACCAAAAATAAAGAGTTGCACTATACACAGGTAATTTTTTTGAAGAGTTTAAAAATCATTGATTTTTCAGTGACTGGTTGCACTATATGTAAATATTTTCTGGAGGGGTTAAAATTCATGTAAAAATATTCAGGGGTTGCACTATACATGAAGTCAGGTTATACACAAGTATATACATCTAGAGAATAAAGTGATGAAAAAAATAATCATTTGAATAAACACATTAAATTAGTTTATAAAATAACTGTGAGCAAATGAACATTTACATAGATATAATGCATTGTTAGACAGAATTTTACACTTTGTTATTCAATTGCTTAACATTGTTCTACTGTATAGAAATCTATATATCATGTTCTCCCATATAATGTACTCCATTGTTAAATATTTGAAGTTTGGTAAGAGATTCTTCCCTTTTACTTATTCTATATAATCTATCTTTAATTGTAATGAATGTTTGGTTGCAAAGGAAAGGAACAAAGATTAAGATTTCAACATATATTGGTGAAAATTCATATGTATATTGCTGTGTGAAAGGTAGTAAAAATTGCTCATAGGTGATTCCTTAGTTGCCATTGGTAAGGAAAGTGATTAGGTTTAAGCGTGTTGTTGGTAGGGTCAAGAGTTAGCCAATTTCTTGGGTTTGTTGGCTGCAGTAACATTTGGAATCACAAGATAAGTCTGGAGCAGTCATTTGTGGGGTTTGATGTACACCTTTCTTCAGGGTTAAAATCAAAACTGTCAGGTGTTTGATGGGCTGGTGGTAGTGTGATGTTGGAATGTTTAAGGCAAACTGCCTGGTAAAGTGGGTTGGCAGATTGGTCAATCAATGTCATGGTGGTGGGTTGATTCATAAGGCGTGTTGGTGGGTTGGTTATCGAGATTATGTCTGTGGCAGTGAGGGAGGTCAGGAGAGGATAGTGAAGGCTGATTGAGCAGAATATTTCTGTTGGATTCTAGTCGAATGTGGTATCAACAAAATGGGGTCAAAATGGTGACTACTAGGGTGGGGTCGAAGCTGGCTTGCTGGCAGCATTCTGCATATAAAGAGTTGGGTGAGATTAGTGAAGCTTGGGTAAGGTCACAGTTGTGACAAGAGAAGTGATTATGGCAATGTTGGTGACAGCACACCTGTGTATTGGCAGGTGACCTTTTGGCCCACAGCTGCATTGGTTGTTATGAGGGGATTTCTTTTAAGCAAATCTGGTGTTCCCCAGAGTCATGTTTTTTTTTCAACAGGAACCTTAGTGACCGGTTATTGTATTTTACTGGGGATTTGTTTAGTTGACGGATATGATGCGTGGAGCTCCTGCACAGAAAATGACATTTTTTATTTGCATTTTGCTTTCTTAGCATTCATATCCAGCTGACATGTAGAGTGAATCAGAAAGAGATCTAGTTGCAGCAGAGTATAATAACATTTACAAGAGTTAGATCAAACCCCAAATAGAGTGCTGCTGCCATATCTGGACTGGAGCTGCCCAATCCTTTCTTTCCAACTATGTCAGAGTTCAAAAGTGTTTATGTGGCCTTATGGTGATGAATTATTTTCCACCTTACAATGCCTTTCCTACAGATAAAAAAATTGCACATCTATCAATTATTTTCATGAAAAATGTTCTGACAAGTTACATTCCTTAGTTTCATTAGTTCAGACCTTCAGAGCTAAAATTTGCCATACGATGTACACAGGGGTGAAACATTCTCATTCCCTTTGTAAAAGAAGAAGGAAGTTCCATTCCAACAACTTCTTCCAAAGAGCTGTTGCTTTGTGGAACACACTCACAAGGGAATGTTTCTCTGATCACTACAATCTGAAACTCTTTAAGTCCAGGTTTAGCTGTTAATCCTAATCCTTATCATCTGCACTTCTAAACACATCCTTCTCCTAAATTTATAAAATAACCTCATTAAGTAACACTCTACTTTGAGTAGCTCTTGGATCCTGTATTGGGTGAACAAAAAAAAAACTATGTATTTTGTAATGATATAACCATTCCATTAAAGACACAGGGTACCATAACTCTTCCCAGTTTCCGTTTTAAAAAAAATGGGTATGAATTGCTATGATATCTCGGGGAAGATGCAAAGATTTTCTATTGCCTTCTCCATAGTTTGGAATTCCAGTTCATCCTTCTAGATTGACTGCCACCCAAGATTAGAGAGTTCAATCTGCCTTGCTATTTAATCTGTAGCTTGGAGAAGTGAATACAATAGACAAAGCTGGTCTTTGAACTAATTCCACTTTCTGTGTCAATAGTTGTTATTGACTGATTTGTTTTTTTACATCTTATCAACCTTTTACTGGTTATTTAAAGTCAGAAAATATTTTTAGATTGTAAGAAGTTTTTGGAGATAAAAATGATTTACTGATACAAGTCTTACTAATTAACTCATAGCTGGGGGAGAAGAGATGGATTCATAACTTTCCCTAGGGTATTTGAATGTGTGAATATAACCAGGCTGGAATTGGAACTTGGCGGCATAGCTGGGGCCACGGTCTGCTGTCTTTGGTCAGGATCGATCCTGGTATCGGAGAACAAGCTGTCAGCCCACACTCGACGGTTGCGTTCGACACAGCAGCTGGTCATTAAGTTGACCTCTTCAACTATAACCTCTCTTACCTACGTTTTGATTTTTGATCTTAAGAACGTCAAGCTAAATTATCACTGGGGTATCTCAACCAAGCTAAACCAATGAGCTGAATATGCAACAAAAATTGAAAATAAAATAGACAATGCCTGAATAAGTCACTAGATGATATTTATATCTAAATAAAAAAAAAAATATTTACAGTTTTTTTTTCTTTTTCTTCTTTTCCCAATCTGTTTCTAATATTTGCAATGGAATGAAAATTTCGGCTAACTTCTCTAAGAGTGGCCAGACTTGACAACTGGATTTATCTTCAAGTACTGTTGTTTGTACTTTCAAGAACAGCACAAGAATATTGTCAGAGTTTTTCTTCATCATCAGATAATTATTATTATCATTAGGTTGACAAAACAGTGTTATGGCAAAAAAATCTCTGACATGGCTTCTGCAACTTCGGGCCGCAACTTCAACTATCTCCAACTACTTTAGCCCCTGTGGACACTTGTATTTATAGGTGTCCCTTCCAACTGGTGTGGTGCAGGTGCATAGGGGAGTTTTATGTAAATCTCCTAAAATTCAACCAGTCTCCTCCTTTCATTTTCTGTTTCACACTTCCAACTTTAGAAGATCCCTGCTCCTCCAGGAGAAGCCATTATATGACGTCAGCCTACCTGATGTCTTCCCCTGCCTTCACAATTGCTCATTCTGTTTTCACAATTATAATTTTTCCCCAGGGAAATTTTGGCTGATAATTTTTCCAGTACGTAGACATTGACACCTTTCAACAGACGACTTTAACCTCTGGCTCCTAACTCTTGCACCTGTCTGCTGTCTCTCGCCAGGCAGCAATAATAGTATTTTTTTTATTTTTCCCAACAAAATTCATATTGTTCTCAATATCCTGAGAAAACAAATCTCTTTCTGACAAAAAAAAAAAAATTCTTTTCTTTTCATCCATATGCCATGTTAAATATTGTTACACTCCAAATTCCATTTCTGAGATATTATCCATTACATCGTCACATGTCCAAGCTTGCAGGACCTGGTATTCCCAATCTGTCACTCATCTAGGTACTGGCCAGGGTGAATGTTGCTTAACTTTGGTGATTGTATGAGAATCTGTGTTTCAATGTAAAATGGCTGTAAGCCTGATAACCTTTATACTACATGAATATCCATATAATGTTGTTCTGCAACTACTTGCTAAATCATACTCAAAGAATAAAGTAATTTATTTTGTTTGCTAAAATACCACATGTGGGAAAATGTAACAATTCTACAGAGATTTTTAAACAACTGCTTCTTTAGATTTTAATATAAATTGCTGGCAATAAACAAGTTACCAAAATACTCACTGAAATGGGTCTTGGTGTTTTTTAAGTTTAACTTTTGATATTAGGATGTAGGGATGCAGAAGACAATTATCTCCCTTTTTACAGAACAAATTTACTTATGTCCTAAAGAGACCTGAAGGTCATCTGACATTCAGGAGTGAAAACAGCACATAGTTGCCATTAGTTGCTAAATAACTTTTGAGTGAGATAAATCTTGTAGCCAACAGCAGTTAAGACAAGAAGCAAAATCTATGCATCCTAAAGAAGAAATACGCATGCTGACCATGTTCCTCCTAGAAACACTACAAGTAAGGATATTCAGTGCTCCCATGTAGCTACCAAATGTGACACAAGGTTGAGGCTTAAAGTGGGTTTAATGGCAATACTGTAGAAAAATTGCACAAGCCCCCTCAGCACCAGGCAATAAACCAAGCACTCTCCCAAAGGTGAGATACTACCTGAGGGGAAGGTTCCCTGTTGCTTGGTATTAATATTTTTTTAAACTCCCTCATATAGGCTTTCACCTGTTCCAGGTAAGTAAAACATCTTCATGTGTCCTTTTATATCCTGCTTCTTTCAATTTCACTGGATGATAAATATATGTATGTTTATGCGTAAAATTTTTGTATGCTATATTTGTATATTCTAGTGCTGAACATAAAATGTTTTTAGGTGCAATTCATTTTGGAATTAATTTCCATGTTATTCTTGTCCTTCCTTCTATTATGTTAAGATGTAAGTATATCACAGATACATAACTGCCTAATGTGGGCCTTGGAGTGTGAAGAAAACCACCACCAGTTGCTACTTATCTCTCTTCAGGCTAGTTTAGAGTTGTTCTTCTACCAATTCTAAAGAGCTCAATCATTCTTGCTATTTAACCTATGGCTGGAGGAAGATGCATTAATTCCTTTTTCACAGGCATTAGTACTAAATGAACA